GTGCTGATGTATTTATTATTATTTACACTACTGTTTATAAATACATCTTTTGTTGTTTTAGTTTATTATTTATAAGTTCCCTTTGCTGCTGTTATTAGTTTAATAAAATACTCCCACTACAATCATTCAAATGACTGGACTCAAATTAGCATATTTGAGAGCAACACCATTGGAGTTTCTAAATGCTGTAGCTGTTCCTGAACATGTTACCATACCATACAGCATGAGAGCCGACCAAAGCACCTTACATAATGTACAGAAAGTACTAAAACTTACTGTTGAGTTAAAACTGAACAACTGGCAAATAATGGCAAATTTGCCTCCAGAGTGAACAAACTCAGCTGCTCCTTTCGAATTCACCACCGTAGACTTGTTCGGCCCATATGAAGTAAAGGATGAAGTCAAGAAAAGAACCAAACTTTAGGTATGGGGAATTGTCTTCTGCTGCATGGCTTCCCGTGCCATACACACAGAGGTGGTAAGTGACCAGTCATCAGAGGGTTTCCTGTTGGCCTACCAAAGGTTCACTTCACTGAGAGGGCACCCCAGGAAACTCTGGTCAGACCCCGGCACCAACTTTGTAGGAGCCAAACCTGCTCTGGAAACGCTGTATAAATTCCATGACCAACTAAACAAGTCTGAAGTTGAAGACCTAGCTGCCAAGCATGGAACAGAATGGGTTTGGAAGATCCACTCAGCAGATTCTCCCCATAGAAATGGTGCAGCAGAGGCAGCTGTCAGAATCGTGAAGCAGGCCCTAAGCAATCTTGGAGGAGATGGTGTCTTCACCTGGGGTGAATTTCAAGCCTTTCTCTTTGTGGCAGCCAATGCCAACCTTGTTAACGAACGACCTATTGATGACAGAACTCAAAGCAGGGAAGACTGTGTGGAGTACATCACCCCAAATTCACTGCTTCTAGGGCGTGCAAGCCCAAAGGGAGACCCTGGAGACTTCCAGTTCGATGGCTATCCATATAAAAGGTTTAAAAGTATTCTAACAGAGGTCAGCAAATCCTGGAAAAAGTGGAGCCAGTTGGCTGGACCAAGCCTATTTGTACGGAACAAATGGCACACTAAAGAGCGGAATGTTGCTGTGGGAAATGTGGTCTGGGTAGCTGGCCAAAACGCCCTGAAAGGACAGTACAGGCTAGCCCGAGTTGACAGCCTCAACACTGACAACAAAGGCATTGTCAGAGATGTGCTTGTGAGGACCTTCCCCAGTTATCCTGTTTCTATCAGAAAGATAGCTGGAAAGGAGCCGGCTTCAGAATCCGATAAACATAACAACAAAATTCCAGCCACAATCCTTCAGAGATGTCAGACACATTGTCATTTTAGTTCCCATTGAAGAACAGAAAGAGCAAAGTACTGATGTGACCTCATTGGGTTTGAGAAACCATGAGCTCAAGTGGGAGGTGTTGTGTTAAAACTGAACTATTGGAGGTGATAGGGCTCAATCGCCACTGAGAACTACATCCCCCAGAAAGCACCAGCAAAATGGCCACCAATTGATGTTGAAAAACACCTGGGCAAAGATGGTGGGGGTTCTGTTCTCAGTCAAACAAGGAACAACAAGCAAGCAAGCTCTACTCATGAGTTGACTCTAAAGACACCAATGGTTGGTGAATATTACTTTATTAATGATAAGTTGTTTAAGGTTTACCATTAAAGTCACGTTGCTTATGAGTTTGATTAAATACAGGCGTTTTCAAGCATGTAGGCATTTGATTTGTCATAGTCATTGTTACACTTGATGCTTTAATTTCTCTTGTTTTAAATGAATTGATACCTTAATTCGTTGATTGAATTTTTGTGATTCAGTCATGTTTTAATTTATTCATTTACACTTTTAGTGTAGGAAGTTTTAGTTTAGAAAGTTCTTTATTGTATTTTATATAAAATATGTGATGTTTAACACTTGTCTTTGAAGGTTATCAACCTGATGACTTAACTACATTAATCACTAAACTGGAATAATAAAGATAGATGGAAAGTGAAAGTAAGGAGTTGTCCCAAAGTGTCCCTTTGGAGTGTGAACAAGAGTGGAATTTAACACATACTTCATATTATAAGCACAGCTAAGGATAAAACAGCCGCTGAAATGGCGATTCTAAAAAATAAAATCTAATAAAAATATAAATTGAAACAACTAAAAGTAAGAATTTAATAGGAAACAAGTCAAGATGTAAAAGCCAGGTCATAAAAGTGCTTTTTCAGTTGTGACTGAAAAACATGTTGACTGGCGGATCATAAGAGAACAGAACAGGCACCAAATGTACAACAACCCCCCCCCCCCCCTCCTTTTATAATTCAGAGAACCAAACTTTAGGTATGGGGAATTGTCTTCTGGTATGTTGGTGCCATGCCATTTAGTGCTTCAGAACAAAAACCAGGATCTTCAACCGAACCATAAACAGGACAGGGAGCCAGTGCAAACACATTAGAATTGGTGTCACATGATTCCGCCGGTTTGTGTTGGTTAAACCTTGCTGCTGCATTTTGGATCAACTGCAGTCTGTTTAAGGCCGAGGCACGCACACTGACAAGTAGTGAATGAGCGTAGTCTTACCGGAACGTGATGAAGGCATGAATCACCAGTGTTGGGAACGTTACTTTATAAAAGTAATTAGTTATAGTTACTGATTACTTTGTCAAAAAAGTAACTCAGTTTCTAACTGAGTTAAGAGATTATAAAAGTAACTAAGTACCAAGAAAAATAACTACTTAGTTACTTTTTTCATTAAAGCATGCAAGAATTACTACAATAGTGAAATATAAATGACTAATGACCGGAACATAATAAAATGTATGTCAAAATGTTTTTTATAAACCTGAATAATTTAAATAAATAAGCACTTAACAGGAGGAACTACTAACAGGAGCACTTATCTAGGCTATTAAAAGGTCACTGTGTGATATTTAACAAGACCCCAATCAGCTAAAATTTTAAATTGCAAATAGAAACACCTGTAAAGGTTCCCGAGCCTTTAAATGGTCTCTCAGTCTAGTTAAATTACAGAAATGAATGTAATTTTACACAGTATTCTAATTTTTCCAGCTTCACATAATTGTGAGTTTTTAGTAGCATCTCTGTTGCTGGTAATCTAGTAATGGTTAAATAAATAAATAAAATCCTTTAAAATGACACTAGAAGAGGCACAAGCCTGATGGAGGACTTACATTTACTAACTTGGGTCAGACCCAACCACAGAAGAGCTGAAGCTGGGTGGTAAACACACACAGGTAGTTCTAATAACACCTGAGCTCCATGACATCTGAGACTGATGCATCAGTGTTACAGCGGGACTAAAGACATGATCAGAAACAGGTTACAGCTGGATGATCTAGGAAGGTAGAAGATCAGGACGTCTGAGCGGTGAACAGGTGAGCGGACCTTCGGGACGTCCCGCTGTCACGCTAAGAAGGGCGCGGCTGCAGATTCGCTGCTGCAGCAACGAACCTGCGGGTCTGCAGCCGTAGATATTCATCACGTCTTCCTCGTTCTTCATGGGCCGTGATGCGCTTGGATGAAAACATCTACCTCTTTAGCTCCTGATCAGCTGATGACAGCTTCAACACACCGCTCTGCTTAACGCACGCATTTCCTTATCAGTAACAGAAATGATCGTTTTGTTAAAAGAAGACGGTAATTAATTAGTTTGCTCATTACAGAAATAAATATTTTAACAATTTATTAACGGACTTTATTTAAGCAATAATTAATCCTCCCTTTGAAATGGTTCCTTCCCGCGCTAAACAAAGAAAGACTTTTTTCGTGCAAAGCAGAGCCTGTTTGAACCAACGAACCGTTATGATATATAATCCTTAAGATGTCCCGCTACCAAGGGGGAGGGGAGACTTGCTCCCATTACCTAAGATATCTTTTCTTAATCTGTACAACCTGAAAACAAGTCCTGAAGCACAGGAACAAGCAATTCAAGGTGGCTTACCTCTCCTGGAGGTCTGGTCGGGGCTCCCACTCAAGGTTTTAAAAGAGACCTTTAAGAATCGAGAATGAGGATTCTTTTTCCAAAAAATTTATTTCAAAATTAAAAAATACAAAAAAGGGTAAATATAAGATTAACCAATCCCCTTAGGAGGATGCTGTTACTAAAATCTTCCTGAGAATAACTGGTCGACTTGTGTCAACACTAACTGTCACACTAAGTCTCCGCTCCTGCTCTCTCTACCTCTGCTCTGTCTCTCACTCTTCTAGCTGCTCTTTTTATATCATTTTAGAAAACTACCAAGCAATATTTCAAACAGTCATGAGACAGTCTAAACAATGTAAACTTTTGCCAGTTACATACATCTTATTATCACAAGACAGCAAAACAATGTGTTCATTTGTCAGTTTCATATCTTAGTTCAACACAAGACAGGTGCTTTAGGGGGTGTTAATGTTGTGAACGACTATTAACAATAGGCAAAACCTCATAGAACAAAATCCCAAGAGATGCATCATCCAATCCATGGGACGCTCGTGCAATCGTAGCATTCATTACGTAACGAATGGTTCAGATCTTGCGTTCCCAAATGCCACCCACATGACTTGCAGAAGGGGCATTGAAAACAAACTCACATTGTTTTTCCAACAAAAAAGCTCATAGTTTAACGTCCTCGCACTGTTTTAGCATCTTCAAAAGTTTGCTTCTGGCTCAAACAAAATTAGTACCATGGTCACAATGTAACTGACTATAAGGGTTCCTCTTAAGCAAAGCATCGCAGACCGTTAAGAAAGGCATCTGTAGTAAGTTCTGTCAACATTTCAGAATGGACCGCTCGTGAAGTCAAGCATGTAAAGAGAAGTCCATATCTCTTGATTTTTTTACGCCCGTTTTCGGTACACATTATCACAATACGTTTTTACATACTCATGTGGAGGTGGAAGTTGCTGCCACACGCCAAATGGAGCAGAAGGCCAATGTCAACATCACTTCTGGGTTACCAACCCTAGATATGTGGTCTATATTACATGAATCTGACACCTGCTGGCGACCACTTACAGTATGTTTATGTTTATGTATTTAGCAGATAGGTTTCTGCTGCAGGAAATCTTTTTCAGTTTGTCTATAGGTCACAAAATGAAGGGGAAATTACATTTGGTCAAATTTAGATAATGAAACGTTATAAATAAAAAACTATTTTACTTGTCAGCATGGAACGTGAAGACACTGCCTAAAATAAAAAAATATTATGACACGTAAAACTATTGTCTGAGGAAGTCTGAGGAAGTTGTGTGGTTTATCAGTCAGCCTCCAGTCCAGCAAGTAGCGCTAGTGATGCTGGTCACCAACCACCGGAAGAAGCAGAAACCAGAAGCTGCTAGCAGAGTTAGCTTGTTGTTGTTCCTTTGGCCTCTCTGAGAAACGCGCTCGTTTTGCTGCTTTCATCAGATTGAAGAGGTTCCCTCTATCAGACTCGCTCATCTGAGTTGGTCATGATGCAGGATCGCTGCTCGCTCTCTCATCCATCCTGCTCACACTCTCCGACGGAAAAGCCCCGAATCTGAATGTGACTCTGGAGGAAAAAAACGGTTAGCTCTACTCCGTGAACTCTGGTGAGCAAAGGTCCTCTTTTCCAGACTGGATCTGTCCTCAGCTGATCAGAACCAAAGCGTTGTATCTTTAATCTCCTGCGTTGTTCTGAAGCAGCATCTTAATCAGCTCTCCTGCTTTGTTTCTATTGCAGCTGTTAGCTAAACACGGCTAAAGAAAACCTGCTACCACTTCTGGATCATCCATCAGCATGGACACAGGTACTGGTGTGTGTGTGTGTGTGTGTGTGTGTGTGTGTGTGTGTGTGTGTGTGTGTGTGTGTGTGTGTGTGTGTGTGTGTGTGTGTGTGTGTGTGTGCGTGTGTGTGTGCGTGCGTGTTCTGGGCAGGTACGAATGGATGGATGAATTACTTACCAGTCTCTTCTTGGCGTGCCCCCCCACCCACACACACACACACCTTTTTTCTGTGAGCCCCAGACACAAACGCAGAATTTATCGACAGCAGCATCTAAATGATTCAAGTTTTCAATTCAAGTTTATTTATATAGCGCCAAATCACGACAAGAGTCGTCTCAAGGCACTTCACATAATAAACATTCCAATTCACAGTTCATTAAGCCAATCAGAAATAATGTTTCCTATAAAAGGAACCCAGCAAATTGCATCAAGTCACTGTCGAGTGTCAGTGACTTTACAGCAATCCTCATACTAAGCAAGCATGCAGCGACAGTGGAGAGGAAAACTCCCTTTTAACAGGAAGAAACCTCCAGAGAATCCTGGCTCAGTATAAGCAGTCATCCTCCACGACTCACTGGGGATCGAGAAGACAGAGCACACACACACACACACACACACACACACACACACAATAATGTGTCTATAGTTCTATTGTGATATCTTAGTAAATATTCTGTTTGGTGAGATCAACTTTATTGTATTTATCCTATGGAACAATCAGATCACTGATGTATGATGGAGCTTGATTATTAAGAGCTTTGTATGTGAGAAGGAGGATCTTAAAATCTATTCTGAATTTAACAGGTAGCCAATGTAGGGAAGCCAAGACAGGAGAGATATGATCTCTCTTTTTAATTCTCATCAGAACTCTAGCTGCAGCACTTTGGACAAGCTGAAGACTTTTAACTACATTCTGTGGACTTCCTGAGAGTAATGAATTACAGTAATCCAGTCTTGATGGAGTAAATGCATGAACTAGTTTTTCAGCATCACTCCTGGAAAGGATGCTTCTAATCTTAGCAATATTCCGAAGGTGGAAAAAGGAAATCCTACAAACTTGTGAAACCTGGGATTTGAATGACATGTCCTGGTCAAAGATAACACCAAGGCTCCTTGCTTTGTTCTCGGAGATTAATGTAATGCCATTAAGGTCAGGTGATTGACTAAGCAATTTCCTTTTCTGGATTTCTGGTCCAAAGATGAGAACTTCCGTCTTGTCTTGATTTAAAAGCAAAAAGTTTAGAGTCATCCAATGTTTTATGTCATCAAGACAAGCCTGTAATCTACCCAACCGATTAGGTTCATCAGGGTTAATGGATAAATATAGCTGAGTGTCGTCAGCATAACAGTGGAAGTTTATCCCATGCTGTCTAATGATTTTACCAATTGGGAGCATATATATAGTAAAAAGAATTGGTCCAAGCACTGAACCCTGTGGTACTCCGCAAGTAACCCTGTAGTATGAAGACAATTTGTCATGTACGTTTACAAAATGAAATCTATCAGACAGGTAGGAATTAAACCAGCCTAACGCTGTTCCTTTGATCCCTACAACATGTTCAAGTCTTTCTAAAAGAACATTGTGATCAACTGTGTCAAAGGCAGCACTGAGATCTAACAAGACTAGAACAGACACAAGATTCTTATCTGAGGCCATGAGAATATCATTTGTAACTCTCACTAATGCAGTTTCAGTGCTGTGATACTCTCTAAAACAGGGGTGTCAAATATGCGGCCCGCGGGCCGGATCCGGCCCACAAGCGGGTTAAATCCGGCCCGCGGGATGGTTGTGTAAACTTTATTTTCATACTTTACAATGTAGAGTGAAAATAAACTTATCTTTGTGAGCAAGTTTCCTCTGTAATGAGTATAAATAAAACAAAGCTGCGCTCAAGGCTCACACAAGAACTTGAATCACATCCTGAAGTTGGCCGCCACTCAGGATGTGAGTTCTGATATTGATGTGCTGGTGAAAGCTAAAAGACGTAAAGTAAAATGAGTCAAATATACTTTGCCATGTGATCTGTAAGCTCTTTGAATCACTAAGGAATGTTTTTTTATTTGTTGATTTTTTTATTTTTTTCAAATTTTCAAGTACACTTCAGGTGTCGTACTTGTACTACACTGTCCTCAGGCTCCAGCCTTGTTTTATATTGATTGTATTAAAACAAAGAAAACAATCTGAAGTTTTTTTTTTTTTTTTATTTACCGGTCCGGCCCACTTGGGACTAGATTTCCCTCAATGTGGCCCCTGAGCTAAAATGAGTTTGACACCCCTGCTCTAAAACCAGACTGAAATTCCTCAAACAGAGCATTAGTGTTTAAATGCTCACATACTTGGATGGCCACTATTTTCTCCAGGACTTTGGATAAAAATGGAAGGTTAGATATTGGTCTGTAATTCATTGGGTCATCTGGATCCAGAGAAGGCTTCTTAAGTGAAGGTTTGATTACAGCAACCTTAAAATCCTGTGGTACATATCCATTCACTAAGGATAGATTGATTATATCTAGAATGGGGGCAGTAACCAAAGGAAATGCTTCTTTAAATAATTTGGTTGGGATTGGATCCACATTTCTATTTTTAATATTTGAACAACAAAAACAACATTTCAAACAGCTCTGTCCCTGTGGAACTCCAAAGTATTCAAAATTCAATAAATAAATAAGACTTTATGAAATAAATATCTACATGAAGAAATACCAGACAATCATGTAATATGACAATGAAATAACAGAATGTTATGTAAAATCTAAGCTCAGTATTATGAAATATTTTTCATTCTTTTAAATGTCTTTAATAATATAAAGTTTTTTTAAGGCATTTTTTCATAATAATCCAAATTAAAATTGAGCCATTTTTATTTAATTCATTCAGTTTTTATTACATAACATCTTTTTAACAAAGACAGTTTTTATTTCATACTAGTGTTTTTCCCCATGGCTGATTTATTTCAAAATGACACTTTAAGCAGAATGTCTCAGTCCGCCAGTCTAGACTAACGGGGTGGAGCCAGTGTGTCATTGGCTGCTAATTCAGTCAGACAAAAGCAATTGCTCTACTCCGTGAACTCTGGTGAGCAAAGGTCCTCTTTTCCAGACTGGATCTGTCCTCAGCTGATCAGAACCAAAGCGTTGGATCTTTAATCTCCTGCGTTGTTCTGAAGCAGCATCTTAATCAGCTCTCCTGCTTTGTTTCTATTGCAGCTGTTAGCTAAACACTAGGGCTGGGGGTAAACGATTATTTTTAAAACGATTATTCTGACGATTATTTTATCGAATAGTCGACTATTCTAATGACTATTTAGAAAATTAATTTAATGATTATTTTTCTATTGCACAATTAACAAAAACCAGAAAATCTCAAATAAATTCCTCAAAAAAATGGATAAATTCTTACTGTAAGAGAATAAACACTACAGGCCTTCCATTTTGTATAACACTGCTTTTATTGTGTTGCGGTTGGTTATGTTCTGGTGACGTGTAGAACTTGGGAGTGCAGGCTGCTGCCTGAGAGGTGGTAGAAGATGGAGTGTCTCCATGCTGCTTTGTTTTGGTCACTTATGTGCGTGAGGCTGGGACGTAATTTTGGGGGGGGACGGGTGGGACATGTCCCCCCCACTTTTTCAAAAGGCAGTTTTGGTCCCCTGCACTTTTTTCCATCCAAAAACAATGTTACGCTCCATTAAATGGATTTGGTTGAGCACTAGGACCGAAACGGAAACCGGTTTACTATTAGACCCGCCCAAAAGCTAATCTATTGGCTCTGCTGATACTTGCTAACGTATTATTGGCTGTTGCTGCTGTCACTCAAGTTGTAAACAGTCAGAACGTGCTCACGTTGTTTTGCTAGTTTGGAGCCGCTAGGGAACACCGGTACTGAGTCACATCGTCAACTAGACGCTGTGTAATATCAGAGCTCAGCTCAGCTTCCATTACATAACATTTGAATAAGTGTTCATTTGTGAGTCTTTGGTAGTTATGCACAGCCAGGCGGCAGCATGTCAAGAAAACGAAAAGTGGATATAAGAGATTTCTTTCAAAGTCAAAATGTAAGTTGGAACATGTGACACCCCTGCATTAAGCTGCATTAAGCTCACTCACCTCCTCCTTCACAAACATACTCAAAACTAACTTTTACAAACTCATCTCCTCCACATAACTGACTCCTCAGACACAATTTATTCGTATTATTATAATTATTTTTTTATTATTATTACTATTATCATCATAATTATTATTACTAGTAGTAGTAGTAGTAGAAGTGTAACTTCAAAACTTTTATCATTTAACTTTATTGTAAACTTATCTATTGCAATGCATATTTTCACATTAAAAAGCTCTGAAAAATGACCAGTATCATCATCGTCAACAGATTTTTTTAAGCTTAATGTCAAAGATGTACACTTTTCATTAGATTTATCTTATTTTTTCCATTTATTTTTTGTGTGTTGAAATGCAACAACTGTTTAAACACTTTTAAGGGAAAAACATATTTAATATGTTTTTATACACTCAAATGTTAGGGTGATGATCATGTGTAAAACATTAGTTCAGCATGTCCTCTAACACAGCAAATGAACAAACGGCCAGATCTCAGGAGGACCGTTTATGTATAAATAATTTTTATACTTTTGACTAGGCCTGGGAAAGTAACACATTTTGCTGGACGATATTTTGTCCAACAAATTGTTGATGATAAACGATATTGTCAACATTATCTAGACCAAAATAACCACTAATATAATGTTAATATATCATAATAATGCAAGTACACCCTTTAAAATGCAACAAAGAAACCTTCATTTAACATTGAAATGTCCAGAACCAGAACTTCTAAATGAATAAAAATAACAAACAGAAATTAAATAAAAAAGGAATCTCACTCCCTGTTGCACCAAAAACAATAAAAAAAGACCCAAAACAATAAATACAATGGCCTATCCATTGTCAACAGCCAAAACTGCACTTCAATAAGGATGGAAAAATTATTGAGATGGGCACGTGACGTGTCAAGGGGTCT